TGTTTTTGAGATGGAGTCTCACTCTGTCACCCAAGCTGGAGTGCAGTGGCACAATCTTGGCTCACTGCAACCCCCGCCTCCTGGGTTCAAGCAATTCTCTGGCCTCAGCCTCCCAAGTAGCTGGGATTACAGGCATGCAACACCATGCCCAGCTAATTTTTGTATTTTTAGTAGAGACGGGGTTTCACCATGTTGGTCAGGCTAGTCTCAAACTCCTGACCTCAAATGATCTGCCTGCCTTGGCCTCCCAAAGTGCTGGCATTACAGGTGTGAGCCACCATGCCTAGCCAAAAGACATGTCTTACTTGGCGGCAGGCAAGAGAGCTTGCACAGGGGAACTCCCATTTATAAAGCCATCAGATCTTGTGAGACTTATTCACTACCATAGAAGAGAACGGGAAAGACTGCCCCCGTGATTCAATTACCTCCCACGGGGTCCCTCCCACAATACGTGGAAATTGTGGGAGATAGAATTCAAGATTAGATATGGGTGGGGACACAGCCAAATCATATCATTTCACCCCTGGCCCCTCCAAATCTCACGTTCTCACATTTCAAAACCAGTCATGCCTTCCTAACAGTCACCCAAAGTCTTAATTAACTCATTTCAGCATTAACTCAAAAATCCACAGTCCAAAGTCTCATCTGAGACAAGTCCCTTCTGCCTCTGAGCCTGTAAAATGAAAAGCAAGTTAGTTATTTCTTAGATAAAATGGGGATACAGGCATTGGGTAACTATAGCTTTCCCAATGGGAGAAATTGGCTAAAACAAAGGGGCTACAGGCTCCTTGTAAGTCCAAAATCCAATAGGGCAGTCATTAAACCTTAAAGTTCCAAAATTATTTCCTTTGAATCCATGTCTCACATCCAGGTCATGCTGATGCAAGAGGTGGGCTCCCATGGCCTTGGGCAGCTCCACCCTTGTGGCTTTGCAGGGTAGAGCCTCCCTCCTGGCCGCTTCCATGGGCTTGCATTGAGTGTCTGTGGCTTTTCCAGGCTTATGGTGCAAGCTGTTGGTGGATCTAACATTCTGATGTCTGGAGGATCATGACACTTTTCTCATAGCTCCACTAGGTAGTGCCCCAGTGGGGACTCTGTGTCTGGGCTTCAAACCCACATTTCCTTCATGTACTGACCTAGCAGACATTCTCCATGAGGGGCCTGCCCTGCAGCAAACTTCTGCCTGGACATTCAGGTATTTCCATACATCTTCTGAAATGGTGGAGGTTCCCAAACCTTAATTATTGACTTCTCCACATCAGCAAGCTCAATACCATGTGGAAGCTGCCAAGGCTTGGGGCTTTCGTCCTCTGAAGCCACAGCATGAGCTGTGCCTTGGCCTCGTTCAGCCATGGCTGGAGCAGCTGGGACACAGGGCATCAAGTTCCTAGGCTGCACACAGCAAGGGGTTCTGGGCCTAGTCCTTGAAACAATGTTTTCCCTCTAGGTCTCTGGGCCTGTGATGGCAGGGACTGCTGCAAAGGTCTCTGACATGTCCTGGAGACACCTTCCTCATTGTCTTGGCTTCCTGTTACTTATTTGGCTCCTTGTTACTTATGCAAATTTCTGCAGTGAGCTTGAATTTCTCCCTAGAAAATGAAGTTTTCTTTTCTATTGCATCATCAGGCTGCAAATTTTCCAAATTTTGACGCATTGCTTCCTCTCTAATCCTTCACTGCTTAGAATTTTCTTCTGCTGGATACCCTAAATCATCTCTCTCCAGTTTGAAGTTCCACAGATCTCTAGGGCAGGGGCAAAATACTGCCAGTCTCTTTGCATAGCAAGAGTGACCTTTACTCCAGTTCCCAAGTTCCTTATCTCCATCTGAGACCACCTCTGCCTGGACCTTATTGTCCATATCACTATCAACATTTTGGTCAAAGCTATTCAACAAGTCTCTAGGAAGTTCCAAACTTTCCCACATTTTCTTATCTTCTGAGCCTTCCAAACTGTTCGTTCCAACCTCTGCCTGTTACCCAGTTCCAAAGTTACTTCCATATTTTCAGGTATTTTTACAGAAGCACACCACTCTCAGTACCAATTTACCGTATTAGTCCATTTTTCCACTGCTGATAAAGACATACCCAAGACTGGGTAACTTATAAAGAAAAAGAGGATTAATGAATTCACAGTTCCACATGTCTGGGGAGGCCTCATAATCATAGTGGAAGATGAAAGGTGAAAGCCACGTTGTACATGGTGGCAGGCAAGAGAGAGCTTGTGCAGGGGAACTCTCATTTATAAAACCATCAGATCTCATGAAATTTATTCACTATCACAATAACTGGCATGTGAAAGACCTGCCTCCATGATTCCATTAACCTCCTACTGGGTCCCTCCCATGACACATGGGAATTGTGGAAACTATAATTCAAGATGAAATTTGGATGGGGACACAGTCAAATCATATCACCTGCCAATATTTGTTATCTGTCTGTTTTATTTTAGCCATCTTAATGGATGTGAAATGGTATCTCATTGTAATTTTAATTTGTATTTCCCTGATGGCAAATTATGTTGAACATCTTTCTATGTGCTTATTGGCCATTTGTGTAATTTTTTTGGATAAATGTCTATTCACATCCTTTGCTCACTTTTTTAAAAATTTTATTTTTGACTTGTAAGTACAGTTCTTTTTTTTTTTCTTTGAGATGGAGTTTTGCTCTGTCACCCAGGCTAGAGTACAGTAGTGTGATATCAGCTCACTGCAACTTCTGCCTCCTGGCTTTAAGCGATTCTCCTGCTTCAGCCTCCTGAGTAGCTGAGACTACAGGCATGCACCACCACACTCGGCTAATTTTTATTTTTAGTAGAGACGGCTTTCACCATGTTGGCCAGGCTAGTCTCAAATTCCTAACTTCAGGCGATCCTCCTCCCTCAGCCTCCCAAAGTGCTGGGATTATAGGCAGGAGCCAAGTATGGCTCATTGTAAAAACTTAGTTAGAAATAATTTCAGACTTTTACAAAGTTTCAAGAATAGTATAAAGAATTCCTGAATATTTTAATGCAGATTTCCTAAATGTTAACATTTTACCATTGCCTTACTCATTCTAATTTTTTTCTGAAACATTTGAAAGTAAGTTGCAGATATGATGCCCCTTTACTAAATACTTCTGTGTATTTCCAAAAACAAGAACATTCTCTGATATAACAATAGCTCATTGGTCAAAATCAGGAAATGATTCAATGCCAATAACTAACCTACAGACCATATTCAAATTTCACCCATTCCCCTACCCATGTCCTTTACCATGCTTATGCTTTTAACACAATTTTTACATATTTCTTACCTTTCAGGCATTTGTATCTTTTTTTAAAAAAAGTTACTGTTGGCCAGGTACAGTGACTTACACCTATAATCTCTGCACTTTGCGAGGCTAAGATAGTAAAACTGCTTTAAATCAGGATTTCAAGGCCAGACTGGGCAACATAGCAAGATCCATCTCTACAAAAAATACAAAAATTTGCTAAAGCAGATAATCGTCTTCCTCAGAAAAGAATTTTCCAGACCCTCTCCTAGTCTAGGAAAACCACACTCTCCATAGGGGCTATTCCTAAGTGGTTCCTCCTAGAAGCAGCTAGGTTCAGAAGAGGCTGATGCTTTGCCATCCCTTCATTGTTCCCTCCTTTTCTTCAAAGTCTGACAGATGGTAGAAATTTAATCAATGTCACATGAATGGATGGATGGCATCGTGCTTTCATCAACCTGTCTTCTAAGGCCTGGAGAGCAGGGAGAAACTTATTAAAATTCTTTAAAGAGGAGGCTGTTGGTTGGGCGCGTTGGCTCACCCCTGTAATCCTAGCACTTTGGGAGGCCAAGGTGGGTGGATCACCTGAGGTCAGGAGTTCAAGACCAGCCTGGCCATCATGGTGAAACCCCATCTTAAAATAAAATAAAATAAAATAAAAAAAGAGTAGGCTGTTGGCCCAATAAGATCTTTATTTTTCAGTGTGAATAGCTAAGTGAAAAGCAGGGCAATTTCAAATGGTATACATGTATACAGGGTCCTATCAGCGTTAAAATACCAAAAGCTTAAAAACAATTAGCCAAGCGTGGTGGTGCACCTGTAGTTCTAGCTACTCAGGAGCCTGAGGTGGAAGGATTGCTCCAGCGCAAGAGCTCAAGGCTGCAGCAAACTGTGATTGCACCACCACACTCCAGTTTGGGCCACAAAGCAAGACCAAAAAAAAAAAAAAAAAAAAAAAAAAAAAAAAAAAAAAGCTTCTCCCAAGTTATTTCTTTCTTGGAACTGGCAATAATAGTGGGAAGGTAACTTTGCTGTTTAGCCCCAAGGGAGGGATCAGCCCTGTGGGGAATTGAGCTGTTATCAGAGGTTATTTACGGCTCTTGCTAAACTCTAAAGAGATTCATTTTTTAAAAACTGATATACAATATTTGAACATATGTATATACATAATGGAATACCATTCAGCCATAAAGAAGGAAACCATGAAGAGATTCATTTTTAATACATGTAGCTGCATGCCAACTTGTCTCACATTCCCTCTCTCCTAGAAAAAAAAAAAATGTGAATTTTCTGAAGCACCTACCTGGAGGTACAGACAGATGACTGCATAAACGCGAAGCTTAGAGTGGACGGAATCGCTACCTGGGAGACTGTAGCATGAGCAGGGGCAGAATCCTGAGGAATACACTTTTAGGAACAGAAATCAGAAATCTCAAAGAGGCAGAAGGTACTGGTGACACCAAGGAGCTGCTCAGAGTCTAGTAAGAGGGAAAGGTTTTATTATCACTTGGAGCCACTGTGGTTTTCCCAGAGGAAGCTCCTGTCAAGCAGACAGCAGTGAGCTCCCAAGCCCAGCAGAGACCTCAGTCCCTAAATGGGCATGAGCTTCATTCTGGGCTTTCACAGGCCGCGACCGGGGGACGCCCAGCACCGAGTTCAGGGTCTGCCTGCCCTGGAAGAGGTCAGTTGTGCAAAGAAGTTAGGGCTGGAACTGGGAGGAAATTCCGAGCATGCGTCCCAGCCGGGGGTTGAGCGTGCGGGCGAAGAGCAAGACAGAGCCGGGAACCCTGCTAGGGCTTTCCGTGTGGGCCGCGCCTGCTGGCCCTTTCTACTTACGCTACCAGCAGCCAAGGGAACCAGACGCAGGGAGGGGGAACCATGACCCCTGTGCCCTCGCGGCCGGAAGCCTGAGGTTTCGGCTCCTCCCCGGCAGGGCGGCCCCGCCCACACCCGTCGCGACCCCACGCCCTCCACGGCCGCCCCGCCTCCCACCTGGTCTCCGGGCCCAGCGCCTCCGGCTGAAGACTGCAGCATGGAGGGCGGCCTGGGGCGTGCTGTGTGCGTGCTGACCGGGGCCTCCCGCGGCTTCGGCCGGGCGCTGGCCCCACTCCTGGCCTCGCTGCTGTCGCGCGGCTCCGTGCTGGTCCTTAACGCCCGCAACGACGAGGCACTGCGGCAGCTGGAGGCCGAGCTGGGCGCCGAGCGGTCTGACTTGCGCGTGGTTCGGGTGCCCGCCGACCTGAGCGCCGAGGCTGGCTTGCAGCAGCTGCTCAGCGCCCTGCGCGAGCTCCCCAGGCCCGAGGGGCTGCAGCGACTGCTGCTCATCAACAACGCGGGTAAGACACCGGGGCTGGAGCGGACTCCCATGTGAGTGTCCACTTCCTTCATCGCTGGCGAATTTAAGAGCGACTCCTAGGGAGTCGGATAGGACGCCTGGAAATCTAAAGCCCTGGTTGTGCCAGTTTGAGTAGCAAATGGAGGCGAGGTGTACAGGGAGACTCGGTGCCGTCGAGGAAACAGACTGCTCCACTTCCTGGAAAATTGGCCAGCCGGGTTTTCCAAAGCGCCTGTGAACTTTCCCGATCCCCTTGCTCTGCGCCCTCTGGTGGAGGCCTGAGTCAGGGCTTGGAATCTCCAAACTAGTAAACTCCCTGCTTTTTCAAAGGACCCCTAGTACTCTCCCTCAGCCCCAGGGCAAGGCAGGTGCCTTCTCATTCTGCAGCTTGGGATGGCTGGGTTCCCCAGGTGTGTCTGTCTGCAGAGCTGGGGTAGAGAGAAGCCTCTTCAGGAGCGCCAGGCAGCTTCTTCCTCTAGGTCTGCATGGGAAGAGGTTATCTGGAGGAACTTGGAGAGCACTGGGGCAGAAGAAAGCCCTACCTGCACTGAGTTACTCCTAAACTCTGGTTTTTCAGGCTCCCTTGGGGATGTATCCAAAGGCTTCATAGACCTGAGTGACTCCACTCAAGTGAACAACTACTGGGCGCTGAACTTGACCTCCATGCTCTGCCTGACATTCCAGCGTCTTGAAGGCCTTCCCGGCCAGTCCTGGCCTCAACAGAACCGTGGTTAACGTCTCGTCCCTCTGTGCCCTGCAGCCCTTCAAAGGCTGGGCGCTGTACTGTGCAGGAAAGGCTGCTCGTGATATGCTGTTCCAGGTCCTAGCGTTGGAGGAACCTAACGTGAGGGTGCTGAACTATGCCCCAGGTAGGTGGGAAGTCCTGCCATCCCTGTCCTCCAGGACCCACTGGTCCCCCTCTGGGGGCTGGGCAAGCGGCCTAGTCCGCTCCCTCCAGGAAACAACCCACAGAGTATTTTATCCCTGAATCATGACCCATCACCCCTTAGGGGAAATATGGACCCAAGGAAGTAAGAGCTGGCAGGGTCTGGGATACTGGCAGAGAGTGAGGAGTTGCCTGGACTGGAGGTTTGAGGCAGGAAAGTCTAAGGTATTAAATGGAGTTTGGGAGAAGACTGGGTTTCGAGATTCAGGCCTTCTTCATGTGAAATAGGGAAGATGCTTCCTGCCTCACAGGGCACTTTGGAAGACTGAATGAGATACTGTATATGAAAATGACCCTGACCTGTGACATGTTGCCTCATTGTTAAATAGAACTGACCACACCATATTGTCTGCATATGTTTGCTTGCCTCCTTCCCTCCCTTGACAGCAAAGCCTTTGCACTATGCACAGCACCTAGCAAAGCACTGCACTAAGGCAGGCTGCAGGACCTGCTAGCTGCATGGAGAGCGGACAGACATTGCTGAGTGCTGACTATCCCCAGCTGAACTGTGCTGGAACACTATGGGGGATACTAGGATAAATACAGTAGAGCCCTTGGTCTCATGACCGCCAAAGGACAGGGAGTTTTGTGATACTGGGTCTGGTTTCTGATGCCACAGCACCCCTTTCTTAATAGTGAGGATTCTCTTCTAGGCTTGAGGTTGCTGCAATCAGAAGGTGGTAACAGAGCAGCCCTGGAATGCCTGAGCAACTTGGGCAGAGATCCAGTAGTCTGTGCCCCTGGGGAATAGGACCAGGATCTCAGGGCAGACAGGTAGAATGGCCTGCACAAAGCAGAGATGTGGCAGGGCCAGATCCCACCTTGCGTCCAAGTTCTTCCTCATGTTCTCCAGTACCCCAGCCCCTACCACCCCGCCCCCAACACACATGCGCAGTTATTCTTGCAACCAATATTCAACTCATCATCCACTCTGAGCCCAGCCCAAGGACTCGCACAAACAGTGGTGACCAATTGTAAGCTACAGCCAGGAGCAGAGGCCACATGGCTGCATTTGGTCTCAGGAGGCTGCCCGGGGCATTATGAGGGAGCTGAGATTTTTCAAGAGGTCCCCAGGGCCTGAACCAAGGTTTTCATTTTGGTCTTGGGAAGAATGTCCTAACAGGTGCTCAGAGATCGGATGGGCTGTTTGGAAAGGCAGTAAGTCCTCTCTCGGCAGAGATGCACAGGTCATTGGAAAACAGTCAAGGACCAGGAGAGAGATTCTTCTTCCAACCCTGGAATTCTCTGATTTTCTGCCCCTGAGGACCATTAACTGCAAATTCTGGGGTGCATGAGTGATTCCTATGTGAAGAACAGAACATGCTTACAACAGTTCAAGAAGGGAACAAGTCCCTTCAGCGGGGGAGACTAGGGATGGCTTTATTGGAGGTAGCTGAGCTGGACGTTGACGTTGGTTGTTAGCAGGTGGAAGGCATTCCTGATAAAAGGAAATGAAGGTGTGAAGGCTCATTGTGGAAGTGGCAGATTGTCCTGTTTGCCCGTAGGGTAGGTGGTGTGCCCAGAGGAGAGCAGACAGCGGTGCCTTGAGTACTAGGCCAGGCTGTTGGGAAGCTGTTGAGGGGTTTTGAGCAGAGGAATGGTGTGATCCCAGTGATGTTTTTGTTTGTTTGTTTGTTTGAGACAGTCTTGCTCTGTCACCAGGCTGGAGTCCAGTGTTGTGATCTTGGCTCACAGCAACCTCCACCTCCCAGGCACAGGTGATTTTCATGCTTCAGCCTCCAGAGTAGCTGGGACTCCAGGAATGTGCCACCATGCCTGGCTAATTTTTGTATTTTTAGTAGAGACAGGGTTTCACCATTTTGGCCAGGCTGGTCTCAAACTCCTCACCTCAAGTGTTCCTCCCGCCTCAGCCTCTTCAAGTGCTGGGATTACAGGCGTGAGCCACGGCACCTGGCCCCCAGTGATGTTTGAGTAGAATGAGTTTAGTAGTGGGCTACAGAAGGAGCTGAGGCAGGGAGAGAAGCAAGGTTGTAAAAAGGGCCTGATGGTTGGGATGTGTAGATGCTGAAGGGTCCTACCTGGTACCTGGTTGGCTATGTGGGCGATGGGGCGTGGAAGGAGGAGGTGATGGAGGTTTTGACTCTGGAAAAAGAATACTTGACTAATAGAAATGGGGATGTCAGGAGGTAGTGCTGGTTGAACAGATGACGAGCTTGGATTTAGACATGGTAGTCTGGAGAGTCCGTGTTCATGAGCTTTTGAATTTCAGCCCAGAACTCAATAGTGACAAATTGGAGCCTTTGGCAACCCTGACTGCATATTTTAGCCAAGATGACGTGTTTCCTCTGGCCAGACCTGACTCAGCCCTACCCTCAACATACAACGCGGACCTGAAACCTTCTGTCCCTGCCTCGGCCATGTTCCCTCGTCATCTGCTTTTCATCCTCTAGGTCCTTTGGACACAGACATGCAGCAGTTGGCCCGGGAGACCTGCATGGACCCAGACATGCGAAAAGGACTGCAGGAGCTGAAGGCAAAGGGAGAGCTGGTAGATTGCAGGGTGTCAGCCCAGAAACTGCTGAGCTTGCTGCAAAAGGACGAGTTCAAGTCTGGAGCCCACGTGGACTTCTATGACAAATAAGCCCATGCCTTTGGCTTCCTGAGCCTTTTTGTCCCCAGTCAGACATACCCCAGAGCCCCATGGCTCCCCACACCCTGTCATAGGGCATTCCTGCCTTCAATATATAAACATTCGTCCTACTGCCCTGCCGTCAGGCACAGCCAGCTGTGAGCTCACAGGTCTTTGGCCTTAACCAGTTGTCAGGAGTGTGTGCTGTGCACCCTGGGTTATGAGGAGGCTTAGGAGAGAGGTTATGGGTATTGGCGTCTCTATCCCCAGGAACAGAACTTAAGGGGTGGGAAGAGCAGGAAAAGAAGCTGAAGAAGTTGTGTCTCCTGCTCATAGCAAGCCCATGGGGAGACAAAAGGGTGATCTGGTGTCGAATAAGAGGACACATGTAGATTCGATGGCAGGGAGGGGAAGAGTGTGCAGACAGTACACATTCCAGCCCACACAGATGCCCCGGGCTGAGGGCAGCACGGCCTTCTGTTGAACTCTGTGTCCTCACTGATGTCTCCTTCCTCCAGAATCCACTGTCCCTTCCCCTGGCTGGGAGAAGGGGCTCCTGAGTGTCTGTATACACCACAAAGGCCAATGCAAATAAAATACAGATTGTCCTTTCTTCATGCTTGCTTTCTCATCTGATACAGGGCCTGTGACTAACTGCCTGGTTCACTGGGCCCAGAGTCATTCCCGAGGCAGTGAACCCAAATGTGAGGTGTTGTCCTTATATCCTAGGGAGCTGTCCTGGGGAGATCTGCCTCCAATCATTGAGCCCCACTCAGTGGCAAGCCCAGGTCCAAAGTTGCCCACAGTCGGCATGCCCAGATGCCTGCTCATTTGTGATGTTGCCCTCACTGACCCCAGCTTTGACAGCCCTTTTCTCACCCTGGGCTGTTCAGAATACCCATCTTTCAGGAGCCAACTTACAGTCTGCTCTCCTCTTGGCCCTGGAGCCTGGGTTCTCTCCCTGACTTTGTGGATTCCCAATTCCACCCCCTGTCCACATGGCAATGCTGTGAATGGATGCCAGCTGCTGTTGGGCCTCTTGGCATTGTCCATCTGGCCCATGGTCCAGGTCCTCGGTGGGGTGGGCTTGGGACCAGAATGCCTTTGGGGGAGATGGGCAAGATTCCAAGAGAGGGAAGCTCTTGAGAAATCAGGGCTGCAACCAAGCCAACCTTTGCGCAGGTAGGTGGATGTAGGCTGGGCTGGGAGCGTCACAGCCGTGGTGGTCTGCAGCCAGCACCCTGGCCCCGGCCATATTTGGGAGGAGGGAACATGGTCCCCTGCCAGCTGACTACAGGACTCAGCCTGCCTCTTGAGTGTGCAGAAGGGAACTCCTCCTTGTGCTCAGCAGAGGGCGCATGGAGGCCGCACCTCCAGGAGAACCCCAGGGAAGCTCTTGCTGAAGGGCAGGCGGGTGGCTGAAGTTGGCAACACCTCGCCTGGTCCCCTAGGAGGGAATGAGCGAGCTCTTTACTGGTCCAGCAGAGCCCTTGCCCTCACGCCCCATTGAAGTCAAAATCGTTGGGCTCAGGTTCCTGCTCTGCCACTTAACCAGCTGGTAACCGAGGGCAAATTTCTTCTCTGTGCCTCAGTTTCCTCATCTGGAAAATGTGGATCCTAATGGCACCTACCCTAAAGGGTTGTTTTGAACATTAAGCTATCTAATGTTTGTAAATGCTCAACACAGTGCTAATTCCAGTCCGTAAGTGCCCCGTAGATTCTAGTATTTATTGCCTTTCAATATCAAGATCCAGATCATCCCGGAGCCCCGCTGGCAGCCTCCTCTCCTCTAGTCGGCCCAGACATCCTCCCCTGGCTGACTTGAGGCAAAAATCCTCACTGTACTGCCTCTATTCAGCCTTCTGGAGGTGAGGGTGGATGCTGGTCTGAACAACTTGTCTTGGGCTTACAGGAAAATGCATGAGCTTTGGAGTCAGGAACCTTCAGTCCCACTACGCTGTCTGTGATAGAGGTGCCATGGGGTGTTGGGCAGAGCCCTGCTGTCTCTCTGGGCTTCAGTTTCCTTAGAGCAGTGAACTCCAAGATTCCTTCCTGGACACCTTCCTCTGAGGCATTTCTTATGTGGTCAGGTGGTGGATTATGGCAGTCTGGGCTTCCTTTTGTGCCGCGGTAGGTGGTGAGTAGGTTTCCTCCCTCGGCCCCTTGCTCCCGTGGGAGTGTGAGGGTGGTCAGTGCCCGTCCTACTCGGTAGCTAATCCACTGGGGTTGACTCCCTCCCTTCCCTCTAGGCTGGTTGCCCAGGAGCTTAGTGAGGAGTACCGCATGTCCCCACGAGGTGGCGAGGCCCTCCCGTGCCTGATATTTGTCTTCTCTGAGCTCAGAGACATAGGAGCTTCGGAAGTGCTCCCTTGGCCTGTCTTTCCCTGCAACCCAGGATTCTAAACTGGAGGATTGGGGTGGGTGGGGTGGCGGGTGGGAGGTGGGCACCAGGGAACTGGGGAGATCAGGGAGGGGCAGCATCACTCTTCCTGCCAGGTCCCAAGGCCTCTTCAGTGACCCATAGTCTCTGCCCGCAGGGATTTCCCAGACCTTGCTCTCAACCCTGGACTCGGCTCCCCAAGTCCCCTGACACTGGGGCAGGGAGGCTTTTGTGGTGGCCTCCAGGCTATAAGCAGCCACCCTCCAGGGGCTAACCATCTGTGTTCCCCGCCTGCATGACCTGGCCTTGGCCACCACACATGTGAGCACATGTGAGTGCACACACAAATACATGCCTGCACATGCCCAGGGCCCAGCTGCTGGAGCGAGCAGGGCCATGGATGAGCCTAAAGACAAACAAGGGTCCTCTTTGTCTTTGGTGTGAGAGCACTGGGCAGTTTTTGGTTTTGTGTTTAATACGCCTGCACTGGGGCCAGCAGCTGGCTTGTGAGGAGCAGGGGGTGGCGAGGGGAATATTACAGGCCAAAGTCAGTGTCCAAGAGCATGAGCAGCTGAGATTAGTGTGGTCAAGAGCTTCCCCTCAATCCCCAATTCCTGTCCTTCCTCCCATGAATACACACACGTGCCCCACAGCCAAGCTGGTGCTGAGTCTGTTGTCAGCCATCAGGGTCACTCGCCCAGGACTACTCCATGCCAGCATCTCCCCATGCCTCAGCCCAGAGAGCCGGGCCCTGTGATGCTGCCTTCTGGCCTCCTTCACCTTCGACCTTCCCCACAGAACAGGGGCATAGGCTAGAACGCACGTGATAGTTCTGACTCACATGGCAGGCACACCCCTGTGTGAGCACACCCAAGAGCGCCCATGCATGCCCTCACCGCTGGGCTCCTGTGTGGTGACAGGGACGTGGGTGAAGATAACTCCCAGTCCCCTGGGTGGAGACCCCGTGGGGTGGCACCTCTCCAGCCCTCACATCATTTCGCAGTGATCTGGGGTGTAAAAGAGAAGGGGAGTGGACCAGAAACCACAAGACGGCTTGCTGGAAGTGAGCTGAGGAATCAACTCCAAACCTCTGGGGTCAGCGGCAGGAGCCGATAGAAGGCAGGGCTCTGAGCCTAGAGCCAGCTATCCTTGCCCCACTCCCCAGTCCTGAAGTCTCCCACCTGCGGTGCTGGGAGACGGGGAGCAGCACAGAGCGCATGCTGTCTCAGATTTTTGAAGTAGAGCCCACTCCCACCAGGGAATTATTGTTACTTCCCAGCCAGCCTCCCCACCTCACCCTTTGTCCCTCCTTTCATCCGTGCTAAGTGCATCCTCGGCCCTAAGAGCCCTTCATGTGAGCTGGGAGAGCCCCCAGATTTCTATTTTCAGTGAGGAGTTGGGGGCAAGGAGGAAGGACATGCCTATCCCTTGGGGGCTCCTCCCCCTGCTGACCTCAGTGGCTCAGCGTGGTTCCTCAGCTAACTAATCTGAAAGCTGTCTAGCGATCTCTTATCCACAGGACCGCCCAAGGACAGCCCCAGATCCCCTATCTGACCCCCTGGGCAGGACAGGAGCCCTGTGCAGAGGACAGAGACAGCTACATATTTTCTGGAACAAAATGGGCTTTTTCTGAGTCCCTCCTTCTGGCCTGCCCAGGTGACACAGGAAAGGGACCAGGGGCAAAGTGAGGAGTTGAGAGGAGGTAAGTCCCCTCTCTGCTCTGGAGCATCCAGGCAGAGAAACAAAAGCAGACACCATGAGAATCAGAGAGAGACAGGGCAAGCCGGACAGTGAGAGAGGAAGATGGAGAGAGGGACAGAAACACAGGGAGGAAACGGAGAGGCAGAAAGATTCGAAAATGTAGTAAGACAGATTTAGATGGAGGGAGAGAGATGGCGGGAGAAGCCACACACCCTCACACACTCGCACACGCTCATACTCCCTCTCTCCCTCCCTCCTCTCTCTCACATACACACACTCACACACACACACACACACCCGGGCGTGCGCTCACGCAGCCGCCCTGAGCCTTGCTGGAAATAATCCTGTTCGCGACGCCAGGGCCTCAGCTGCACAGGCGTTGCCGAGCTGTTACCTTGCACATCTGTCAGCTCCAAATGTAGAAGCTGTCATAGGACTGTGTGTGTGTAAGTGTGAGAGTATGTGTGCATGCCTGTTCCTCCCAGAGAATTCTGAGGCCTTAGTCGGCAGAGGGAGATTCCCAAGGGCCCGGAGGCTCTCCAGGAAGTCCAAGCCCTGAAAAGCAGGTCTGCTCCTTCCCTTCCTGCACAGGGAGTGGCCACGGGGCCGCCCAGCTTTAGGGGATGGCCCACTGGACTTGGTCTTCTGTGGCCTGTCTCGTGGCCTGGGCAGTCACTTCTCAGAGCATCTGGGTCTCCTGCTTGTCAGGTTGGGATGTCAGGTAGCTATGCCACCTGGAAAGAACCCAGACAGGCGGTGATAAGCACCTGGCCTGGTGTACGTCCGTTGCTTCTGGTAGTCAAGGATTGTCCTCTGACAGCTGGGAAGTCCTTCTTGTGTCTTACTCCCAGTTCTGGGAATGGATCCCGCACCCAGGTCCCTCTAGGGCGCCAAGAACATTGCCCTCGTCCTGCCTGCTCTTCACGCCACTCTCCTTGCTGGACCTGAGGATGGGCCTTGGGCACCGACTCTGAGCTGCAAAAGGTCCAAGAACCTCAAACACCAAGTCTCCAGGAACACGGCATGTTGGCACATTGCCTGGATGACTTGAGAATGGTGAGGCTTTTCCTGTAAGGATCTTGGGTAGAAACTTTTCTCTGCTGACTCTTTCCAGGTTTTCAACCCCCCTCCCTGCCCCAAATGTCAGGACGTTCTTTTTTGGTGTTTGCACTTCCTCCTGCTTTAATCTAAGCTTATCATAGAGAAATTTTATAGCAATGAGAAAGAGGCCCCAGAAGCTATCTAGGAAGGGGGGCAGCTTTTTTACTCCAAGTCAGAGGAAAGCGGGACCCTGGCCAAAGGGACCCACCCCTGTATCGGTGCGCTTCCCACAATGCCATGCCCACCCAGTTTAATCCTCCCCTGACCCACGGAGCTGACCCCTTCAGGACATGAATAGAAAGGCCCTGCCACCCATCCCACAGGCTGGCACCCTTACCCCCGTCCTGGCCTCATCAGAGACCATCTTAACCCCAGGCCATCTCTCAGACTGTCCTCATATCCACAGTTCTTTCTGCCTGAAGGCTGGATGG